TGAAGGGATGGGTGTTTGATCATTGTATGACCGAAATTTAAACCTGAAAGCTTTGTAACTGTTCTCACAGTGATTCAATAAATAAATTTTAAAAAAAAAGGAAAAAAATTACAAAGCCCACACTCAGTGGTACTTAGGGGAAACCTTCACACATGGTAGTTATATGCTCTAATATGTGAGTGACATCCCTAGTCTGTTTGTTATTATTAAAACTCAAAATTCTACTGAAATATCAGTTAAAAAGGAATAAATTCAAAGCCATACACACAGAAGACCTAAGTAGTTCAGAAATTCTCTCAAACTTATAGAAGGCAGAACTAAACAAACAGGAATTCATACACCACACAATGTAAGGATCTTTTAGTCCAGGCAAGCCTGTAAATTCTTGAAGCTATGAGATACTAGGCAGAGCCTCAACTGTTGGCAGTATTCACTTGTATAACGGGCTTCTGTAAAGAGTCAGTCCCGCTGGCTCTTCCCATACCCTTTCTACTTAGCAAGAACAGGTGAGAAATGGCTAGTAGCAGCTGCATCAGGGTAAACAAAAAATTGCAAGCAGTATATACACCACTTTCCTTTAAAAGTAAGTTGTTATTACTTACATGGAAGGAGGCCCAAGTTCCCATCATGGGAGATGATCCCTGGGTTATATCTTTGTCACTTGGTAGCAGTCAAGATGTCTTGAATTTGGCCTACAAAATGGCACTAAACCAAAGAAAGGCAAGATATTCCAGGCAAAAGACATATCTTTAACTTGAACAAAGATATGAAAGTAAAATTTAGTATAATCAAGGGAATTGGTTTCATTCTTGCCAGAGGATAAAGGTCAGTCCCAAGTGTGACAGATGGTAATGAGAGGCAGACAACAATCATATTTGGAGCTTGTTTTTGTCCTATCAACAGAATGATCCCTAAAATGATATAGTGCAAGAATGTGAAATTTCTAAAGGTTTGGCATTTGTGTGGAAGATGTAGGAATAAATGTTATCTAGTCTGGCAAGCTCCCCGTGATGTATTCGATACGCCACAGTAACAAGTCTCACAATGTTACTGGGACTACTTGAGCAAATCGATGAACAATGGGAGGAGAGTGACAGTGACAGATGTTGTAATGCAGTGGTTCCAAATGAGGAGATGGCATCAGGACCTGAAAACTTGTGAGAATTGCATTATCATCAGGCTCCCTCCAACACAGTGACTCAGAACTTGTATGGTAGAACCAACAATGCTTCTGACAAACATTCCAGGCGACTGTTCTAAGTTACTCTTAATTACTCTTCCAAGGAATGCCTCATATTTCAAGTCATTTCTAATCTTCTATGAACCTTTTTGTACCACCCCAGTACATAATCATATCCTCTATCACCAACAGCACCGTCCCCTATAGAGGCTTCCTGATGCAGTCAAATTTTGTGCAGTTTATCATAGTAAACCAGCATTTCTTTTTATCGGTAGAGTTTCACCTGCTTTTGCAGCCATGTCAAGACCTGAAGAGCTTGAATTTGAATAAGCCTGAATGAACAAAGAAATACCAGATATGAGTCTGATATTCTGATCAATATGCATGGAGAAAAGGAATGCTAGAACCAAATGACTACTTGGGATGGGTCTAAGCTATTACTAGATAATGGGTAGAATGCTAAAAACTAGTACTATGCTTTACAAAAAATCTAATTTTTTCCCACAATGACCCTATGAAGATTTATCCCCATGTTACTGAGGTTATGCAATTTGCCTATTAGATAACTAATACTGAGCTGTGATTCAAGTAGAACTGTGCCTATAAATTTGTGCTAAGATTTCCAGCTGAAGTGGTTGAGTAAAGAGGCACTTTCAGGAAAGACAAAGATAGTAGTAACTAGGTCAGTTATAAAAATGCTTTTTGAGATACTTTACAAGGTTTAATAGTATGGAAAATAGGATACAGACAGAAGAAAACTGTACCGTGAAAGTAAATGAGACGGCCCAGAAAGAATCAGACATATGGACTAATGTGCTAATCCAAGTGAATATTTAAGGGAAACAAGGAAAATCAAGATGTAATGGTTCCAAGGAAACATGAGGAATACCTGCATTAAGTGTTCTAGCAGTCAAGGTAATAGGTAGTTTTACAATGAAACTATAAGTAAACCATAGGAGTGATTATCAATGTGTAAGAAAAGAACTTGAAAACGATTTTTAAAGATGTCATTGAAGTTGTTCTGTTGCATTAGAGGATGGAAGTTAGATTAGAATAGGTTGAGAAATAAAATGAAAGCAAAAATTTACGAAATCTTACTTTGCAGAGGTAGAGAACGCAATTAAGATTTGCATGAGAGTTCAGTATGATTTTCTTCATCATTGAAACATTGAAAAAAGTGTGATTTTTCTACAAATACATAACATTTTTTCAAAAGTCACTAATAAACCACAGTTGTGCAGCAATCACTAAAGTGTATTCATGTACATTTTTGATCCATAAAGGGGAGTGGTGTGATCAAATCTTAAAAATCACTGAATCTAACTTCTCTGTAAAATGGGCCATAGCAACGTATTGTTTTGGGAGTCACACCCAGCGGTGCTCAGGGCTTTCCTGGCTTTTTCCTCTGGGATGACCCCTGCTGGGGCTTAGGGAAAAAATGTGGTGGAAGGGATCAAACTCAGGTTGGCTATGTGCAAGACAAAAACCTGACCCACTACAATCTCTGCCCCCTACAATGTCTTTTCTCAGCAAACTTATTGAATTTTACATCACTATCAAGTGTCTCAATGTATAATCTCAGTACTCTATGCAGTTGGTAAAAGTGATAGTGGTATTTAGAGACCTGGTTTTCCCAAAGGTACCTGCCAGTCTACCCCTAAAACTGTAAACACCAAGGTTACCTCTCCATGGAAATGTCCCACTCACAGTCAAAGAGCACTGGCAATGACTAGCACTTTTCCTTGATCACACCTTCCAGGTAGGCACTATTAACTTTGCTTCTGAAAAACACCCAGAGGCTGAGGCTTACTTACCATCATAATCACCAGAGATATTGAGCACACTATTTTCTTGGTGGCCTCAACCCACAATGAAAATTCATGTCCTTATGTCTTCTCTGTATCTGTCCCCAGAGACCAGTTGCCTTGTAAACATGTGGCAACTCCTTCAGCTCATGCTAAACTGCTTGAGTAGCAAAATTAGCTCGTCTGGGGATTGGCAACTCAAAATAGCAGAAAATATAACCACGAGTAGGAGTCAGCTTATTCAGTTGCTGATGCAGGGCCCAATGGTTGCTCCAGAGGCACTGCTAGAACATGTGTACCAAAATGCACAGCAATGAAGGACCCTGTAAAGACTACCCGTTTCCCAGACTTAACATGTTTGAACATGTTGGAACCAGTAGGAGTGGTGTGACAAAAGGAATATGAAGGACCAACTTAACCATAACCTGGAAAAGGCTGAAGAGAACTGGGGTCCAGGAGACTTTGGTTTTGAGGTAATGGGCAACAATCTGGTTGTGAATACAATTGGAATGCTCAAGTTTTAGGGAGGACCAGAACAGTTTTATTGATGAGATTAATGGTGCTCTTCTCAGTATAGAGGGTTAAATATAATATACCGGTATGAAAGTAGAAACATTTCAAAATGCAACAAAGGTAACTAATATTACAAATAATTATCAATCAGGACATCATGACTGGGTAAAGACAGGTGAGCAGAGGCTGAGAGAAAATGGTGGGCAACACCAACTTTGTGAGGCAAAAAATTTTGAATGAGAGAAAATGACAAAAGCTTCAGAACAGAATACTGGATTTAAGTATGAACCACTCAGAATGAAAACATCCAAGCTGTCTTCAGAGGAGTGGGCTGAAGTAGTAAGATGACTGATCAAAGCAAAAAATCTGCAGCTAGAATACTGAATAAAGTATCTCAGAAAATATCTAAATGGATCATATAAGTAGGGAGACTGCTGTTTGAAAACACTGTAAATGTGAGGGTGGTGTGTAGTGTGGTGAATCCTTTGCTGTAAATGATTCACTCCCCAAAACCCTAATTTGTACTGTGTACAAGGGATAAAACTGTACAGGATAGGGAAGAAACAATCATAAAGGAGGTTATTAGTAAGGATGAATGAAGAAATGGAGAAACACAGTGGTAGGGTGGATGAGAACTTCATAGATCAGAGCATTTACTTTCTATGTTTTATGTGAAGGGCATGGGATACAATTTAGCTCCTCTCTTATAAATACCCCCCACTCTGAGGTCAACTGAACTTAGTATTTCACCTTTGCAAGTCAGCTCTTCATATCCCCACCAAATCTGATTATAAGTGGTCTATGTTACTTCTGGCAAAAGTATCAAGAGATGTAATTCGTTTCCCTCTTCCACGGCCAAAGGACAATGTTCCCTAGGGTAGTTTGGTCATCAAGAATCCTGGTGACTAAGTAAGCAGAACTCTCTTGCTACCCATAGCATGTGAGTAAGCCATTATGAATCAATATTTTGGGGGGCAGTGAGCTTAACTGCCTATCCTTCCAATATCCAATCAATTGCTGTCCTGTCAGATACCTTGTGCCACTCCACTAGTTCAAGCCCCTTGCATGTACTATACCAGTTATATTTTAACCCAGTATCTTTTTTTTTTAATCTGCAGTTAATCTTAAAAATCTAAATTATACTGCGACTTGGCTTCTTTATGGCTTGCCATTGTCCCTGAAATTAAAGCAACACTGCTCACAAGGCTTTCCCAATTAAAAAACTATGTGGAGTTCTCTCTTAACAATGGCCTCAATGTCACAAAACGAACTAAAGAGTAAGAAGTAGCAAGGAAAGGAGGAAAATTATTTTCCTGAGTAGCTTTGCCTTGATTTTCACTCCACTTACAGAAGTGGAAGCATAGAAAGAAAACATGATGAATAAAACTCAACATGTAGGGAAGGGGCAACGATGCAGATCAGCGGAGGGTCTCTCATCTGAGCAGCCAAAGGTCGTCAAGATAATATTTTAATACTTTAAAGGACCACTGATGCTGAAAAAAATTACTAATAATAAAGTCTAAGAGCTATTGAATGATTTTCAAGGTTTCCAAACTCAGCCATGTTAGTATTTCAACATGTCTGTTTTTCCCACTGAGATGGAAATGGTTCAGAAGCTTAAAAAACTATGTTTTATTTCAAAACTTTTTTTCTTTTGGAGCCACACTGGGGTGCTCAGAGTTTATTTACTCCTGTTGCTGCTCAGGGGATCATATGGGGTTCCACGAACTGAATTCCAGTTCGTTATCTGCAAGGGAAGCACCTTATCCGCTATACTATCTCTCCAGCCCCTAAGTAAACAAACAATTTATAGTAGTTTTCTTGACAGTTGCCTACCACCAGAAGTCTTTAAAACCCTGTATGGGCATCAAATTTCATTTAAAAAAAAAAGCACTTTATTCTCTTCAGACATCAACCAATTCTTGAAAAATAGCGAAAACCTGCTATAGTCAGTTTAATAGTTGCTTGCAAAGTTCAAGTATATATTGTTTTGAAATTACACAAAATATCACCACTTGGCATGTCTATTTACAATAGTTCAACAGAAAATTACCCCCACTGAGAAACAAGTTATAAGTCACAAAAGCAAATTAATGGACAACTATTCTCTTGAAGAGAATGCAAATAACTTTGAAAAGCTTTTACTTAAAACAATGGCTTTCCTCAGCTTTTTCAAAATAAGAATTTAAGGAAAATGTACTATTGATATATAATATAGAAATTTATTTTCACTAAACCACGATGGTTATAACTGGAAGAATATAGATTAGAAGCAGTACTTAATTTGAAAAACTGTCAAGGAAAACTTCTAAATGTTCCTAGTCTTAGTTACATAAAGATGCTAGAACAGTAAACTTTTCCCACTAAAACAGTGGTTTCTCAAATGGAGCAATTATGTGCTTTGCCCAGTCCTTACCTCCACTTGGGGGCACTATAGAGCAGCAGGAAGGAATTTAGTTGTTGCAACTAGGTTGGCAGCAGCAATACCACTGGGTCTAAGTGGACAGAAGTCTCAGTACCTTGTAGAAACCACAAGATAACTCCCCTCCCCCACGGCAAAGAACAATCCAGTTCAAAGTGCCAATATTGCCACTTGCAATATCCTGCTCTAAAAAAAACATGCAATTCTACTGATGCATAAATTCTGGAGGAAAGCATGGATTTTATTTCTAGAATAAGGAACCAGGAGTTTTATTTCCAGACCTTTTACGAAAACCTAACTTAGATCATGGATGTTAACTTTTTTCAAGCAAAAAGCACACTTTGTGTCTTTAAAATATACTATACTAGGATTATAGTTAGCTATTATCACACACATTTAGCTGCCCTTGCCAAGTAAGCAGTTGGGATTATATTAAAAATGAAATGTTGGAGAAACACGTAAAAATAGCTTTAGAACAACAACAGGATTATTACAGACTATTATAACATAATGGTACCATGGCATCACACAGTTCTGGAGTACAAAGTTTTTTCCTCATGAGAGCGTTTTAGAACAAAATCTGTGAGTATCAACCATCAATTGTTTATAATGGTTGAGTACATGAATTCTACATTCCCCAATCTGGAAAGAACTGAGAATGAGTTTCTCTTCTAAGACCTAAAAGAAAGAAATCAACTAGCCAAAATCACTACTGATAATCATTTGAAATAAGATCTTAAAGGGTTTTTCGGACTCCCCAAGCATAAATCTTTATACTTGAAATCATTCTGAAACTTTCACACTGATGTTATGGGGTCTTAGAAAGTAAAAATATCTGCAAGTTGTTTTTAATGTCCTATCATCAAATCTCACTTAAAATTTACAGCAATTTTCTAAGATGTAAAGGACAAAAACATAATACTGATAGACTGCCTTACACTATACATAGTATAGGTATTCAATTTTTTTCTAGTATCAATGGGAAAATAAGAAACTTTATTGTAAAAGGAAAATGTACTTTCATTGCATATCCTAAGAAAATGGCCAAATCTTGAGTTTTTGGCAACTTGCCACCTAATCCATTGTGTTCCACTTCTGCAGTCAGAGGTACAAAGGAATTTAGTTAAATGGAGAGTTCAATTAAAACCAGGATACCCTTTTCTAAACAGAAAAATGGACTATTACTACACTGTCCATTTTCCATTCCACAAAGGAAAATTAAGATTTCAAAAACAGATAAAAACATGCCTGGGGTGGCAGTGGTTTGAAGATGAGGATTCAGTTCAAGAGCTTTATCACAAAATTTACTGAAATTTAAGATCTTTAATATCAAAACACTAATATTAAGATTGGCAGGTAATTAACAATTTAAGTAAAATTTAATGTGTGTAAAAAATGTCACTTCGACTTTATTAACTATCACTATACTTTGTCATGTGGCTAAATATAACTTGGTAATTATCAATTCAACATTTTGGCACATCTTATTTTTGCATTGCTGGGGCTCAAACTCAGGTGCTACTCATGCAAGGCATGCATTCTATCACTGAGTTACCAACATCCCTGGTCAAATAAAAATTTTTTTTTATGACTTGAGGATTTTATTTATTTCATTATTTTGAACCTCAATCACATTTTATACCTGAAATAGAGCTTGATATAAAGATCATAATATCCCTTAGAACTGGGTATGTACCTGTTACTTCTTTACATCATTTACTAAACAAAGTATATATATATATATTTTAAGTGGCTGTTTTACACTTCCCTAAAAACTATGTCAATATTGCAAACATTAGATGAAATCATCATACCCCAATATTTTATAAATTTCCCAATGGTTTAGTTTTTGGTATCACTTACAAAATTATAAAGTATTTTAAAAAAAACTTAAAATTATGCCGTCATACCAAATTTTCTTTATGCCTTTGTTTTATAAAATCACCTAACCTCAAAACTTAACTTTGTATCAATCTTTTTTGAAAGAAATCAGGTAGATTTAAACAAATTTAAACGCCCTCAAGTCAGCAAAGAACTGTTTTCTTATTATTACGTATGAGGAACCACATACGAGGAACCTACACATAAAACTGAACTTCCTCATAGTTACAAGACCAGTAAGTAATAGGAGTGGCCAACTATAACAAGACCCCAAAACCTTGCCACTCCCATTCTATAATCAGGACTTCACTTTCACTAAAAGCAGTTAATCAGCATAACTCCACATAAAAATCTGAATATCTTGTTATTTCTTTTAATGTATATGTCCATTCACATAAGCAGCTGATCCTTGAATAATAGGGTTAAGGGTACTGAACACCATGTAGTCAAAAATTCATGTAAAACTTTGAATTTTCTCAAAACTAACTAATAAATGGCTATTGACCAAAATACCATACTGATAAAAACAATATATATTTTATATGCTCTAAATATCATATAGAAAGTAACCTAGAGAAAAGAAAATATTAAAAATATAGCTTGTTATTTGTTTTCAAGAAAATCTGCAGGTAAGTGGACCCACTCAGTTCTAACAACGATTGTTCAAGGATCAACTGCGTATATGAACAATATCATATTCACAACCCAAACTGTTCACAACTTTTTCTTCTGTATTTTGAAAGAATCTCAGCTGTATTAGAATTAGCCAATTTTGCAAGGCTTAAGAAGTGTGTGTGTGTGTGTGTGTGTGTGCGTGTGCGCTGGGGTGTTGGGGGGGGGGGGGCGGGGAGAGCCTTGGAAGTTTAAAATAAGAGAGAAATCCAATAAATGAAAAGTATTTGGATTTAACTTTAGACAATTAACTAAGACATTCACACACATATGCATGTTAAGTCTCCTATTTGGTCCTACAGCCTGCAGATTTGTAATTTATTGTGAAACCATGTAACCAAATATTTAAATATATCCACAACATCTATACCACATAATGCATAATACATAATATACTAACATCTCAAAATAAATTTCTTTTACAGTTTTATGCAGTTATGGTATAAGATTATCACCTGCCACATTTTGAAATGGCACCTACTTCATGTAATGTTATCATGTCAATGTAGTCAAAATCCTTATTGGTAAGGATTTCTTTCTTAGCATTATCTGAACATCTGAAGTCAAGTTGGTAATCTAAAAACCACAGTACATTATCAATTAAAATCACTGCATACTTGGATGTTAAAGCAGGTAAGTAATACAGCATTTTAAAAAGTACTTCTAATTCACAGTTTCAAAAATAAAGGGTGCAGTTTTCAAATATCTGATTGCTTCAAATTGGTCACTCAATTTAACAACTGCCTCCTTCAATACATGTAAACTGTTTGCACAGCATTGGGAGATGTCTCTTATTTCAGAAGTTAGCTCTTACTATTACAGGAGCACCACAAATTTGAAGAGGCTACAGTGTGAAATGAGCTCACTGAAGGAATGTTAACTACAATATAGGTATTGCAAAGCTTCCCCCCCCCAACCAGCAGACAACTTAATCAGGAAAGAAGTCAACACTTATCATCAAATACAGTAAGTAAATGAGCTCTGCAAGAGAGGGGGGAATCTGGCGCAAAAAAAAGAAAATACTATTGTAAGCTAACAAACCTGTGACAGCTGGTTTCAGAATTTTCCTAAAACTAAAACTCCAAAGCATACAGTATTTGTATGATTTGATAAGGAATGTAGAAACCCAAAGGCAACAAAAGAAAAATCTGGCTTTAAGAATTTCTAGTTGGGATGGGAGGACAGTGGATAGTGGAAGAATTTCTAGATGAAAACACACGCACACAATGGTCAACTGAGAAAAACTGAATACTTAAATATTCAAATTTTAACTGTATAATAAAATTTATAATAGAAAAAAGTGGCAAATTGTTATTGTGACTTGATTTGCTGAAAACATCTGCAAATTCACACTGGCATTAAGAAAACCAAAGTTTCAAAAATTTACTCCTTTCTCTCTCTCGCTCTCTCCAGATATGTTTTCTGTGCAAAAATAAATATCTGAAAATTGCACTAATACAATAATACTTATTTTAACTTTTGTATTATGAATAATCTGCACATGCTGCTTTATAGACAATACATATTTGTAAACTTGTTCATGCAAAATTAGTGTGTGCAGCAGGGATGTCATTAATCCCCATACTTAAAAAAAAATACCTCATTACATATTTTTAACTGCCAAACCCTCTGAAATGTAATAAATTTTACACAGATATTGTCTGCCAGCTAAAAATCAATTTATGTTGCTGAAACAAGTTATACAAGAAAAAGAAACATGGTTTTTTGTCTTGCAGAATTTTTGATTTTTAAATAAGAGAAAATTTATAAAAGAAAGGAATTCATGGTCACAAAATTTTAACTTTTAATCCTAAACATTACAGGGCAAATAGATACTGGACCCTATTTCCATTCTCCATAAAGCCTAACTTTTAGTTTCCATTTTAAATGTTGCCCTAACCACAAAAACATTAGTGGTTTTACAACTTTCAGATTATGGAAATACATATTTCTGAAATAAATGCTACAAAAACAATGGAAGAAAGCCAAACCGTCTCCATGAAGGAAAAAAAAAGTGGAACATTATGAAGCTTTTAAACACTTCTCTTCCCATGTCTTATGATTAACCTGTCAATTCAGTGCATTGTATGGTAAATATAATGGTCCCCAAGCTGAACAAACATCTTAACTAGTGTCCATTGATTCCAAGTTAGTGGATGATGAATCTTTTTGGATACTTTCAAAGATGGCTGCTAGTTCAGGGTTAGAACTGATCTGTGACTGGAATTCACTCATCAGTGGACTCTTCTCTGCTTCTGGAATGGTTAGCAGTGCTGCTACTGCTCTCATGGCAGATCGCTTGAGTTCATCTTGCTTTTCAAATTCCTGTTTTACTGAATTTGCCTTTACCTGCAATATTGAATACATTTGTATTAAAAGCTATAAAAGGCAGTTTGTACATGAAGAATTTTAAACACATGAAAATTTATGGTAAGCAAAGAAAATTCTTTCATAAACCTAAAAACCCCATTATATTTTTATAATTTTTTTTTAAACTTTAGCTGTCTTCTTTTAGGGAACTATTTTATATATAGTTCTACTATATGAACAAAATAGTTCAGAATCATGACTGAAACAAAGACCATTATCTTCTTAACAAATACTACTTTGGCCTCTACCAAGTAAAGTAACCACTCCTCTAGATACCCAGTTTATTCAAAATTTCTCTGTCACATCATATACAGACACCTCCAAGCCTTTATTCATGTAATTATTTTTTAATAAAAAGCTCTCTTTCAGAATTTAAAAACAACTATTTAAAGATCCGGTTAAAAGTCACACTCATACGAAACTATGACTTCCACCCACCTCTTCCAAAGGAACAAAACAATTCTCCTTTGTTTCCATTGGAAGCTTTTTAGTCTCTATTACATTCAATCATAAGTGCATCAAAACATGTCATAAATGAAGTTTCAGGATGATACTTAAGAGCAACAGTTTTCTAAAATATCTCATCTTCAACTGTTTACTTTTAAAACTGTCACATATGAAGCTATCATACATGGTTAAATTTATACTTTACTAGGAATATTGAATACACTTTTTCTGGCTCAAGTTGCTTCCTGCAATCATTACCTTAGTTGTACAAGTGGCACGTAAAGGCTCAACAAGCCGGTCCAACCTCTGCAGTACTGCACTTGGACAAAGGGTAGATAGTCGTACCAACATCAAAAATGTTAGCATCTATTAGAATTGAAAAAAGACAAAATTTGAATGTTTGCATTATTTTCTAAATACAAAATTCAGACAAAACTTCAAAAGAAAATGACTCCCACATACATAGGGTTTCACTTCAATGTTATCAAACATTAAGTAACACACGTCTCTCAAACCTTACTTATCTGAGAATTTTTCCTGCAAGCACCAAAAAGATTTTACCCACAATGTAATTCTAGAATATAGAATTAGAAAAGTGGTTTCCAATCATGGCTGCACACAGGAGCTAAACGGTTCTAGGGACATTTCTATTCCAAAGTGAACTGCCAGCTCAGAGGCATACTTATTTTTTGGCGGGAGGAGGGGAAGAAGAGGGTAAAGGAATGCTTCGGGGTCTGCATACTCAGAGATCACTCCTGCCAGTGCTCAGTGATTTGAACCAGGGTTTGAACCACGGTTAGCTGAACGTAAGACTAATACCTTACTTAATCCCTGTATCTCTCCAGCCCTGACTACCTTAAAAAAAAATGCATGCACACCAAATAGAAAATTACTGAGCAAAGCACCAACTGAAAAAAAATGATTTTTTTCTTATTAATCTATATAAAGCCTAGTACCTGTAATCATGCCTAATATATAATCTTCCCCTCCTCTTAAAATGCAATACCCTGTACTTCTCTGAGCACTCTATTCATTGACTTCTAGGAATCAAGTCACTAAAACATATGGAAACATAAAAAGTTGAGTTAATTCATGCACTAAACCTAGAAAGTGTCATGACTGCTGTGTATTTGAACATAGTTCACCCATGTTACCCTATAACAAAACTCAGTAAAACCTGCATACAACACAATCGCCACCCTTTCAGGTAAATATAGTTATGTAGGAAAGCCCAACTGACAGTCAAACAGAATTAGGTACACAACAGGAAACTAAGAAAAACTATTTTAATTATGGTCCTATATATGACAGACCAAAAAGGAATAAATGTCTTTACTCTTCTTTTGAAAAACCAAACCAATCAAAAAAATCTTGAGTTTATTACCTAAACAAGATGGGACAGAATTTCTTTCCTTCAACAACGATTACTAGATTTTTCTCTGCATAGTTAACTTATGTTATATTATTTCACTATTACCTTCTGTATATTGTAACACTTTACTGCTATCTCTCAGCCGGTTCAACCCCAGCAGAAAGCAGAGAAAAGCCCCTGAACACTGCCAGTGTGGTCTACATAAAAACAGTATTTCTCACTTAATTATAATTAATTATAAGGGTAGAAGTCAAAGTAAGTCAGTATTTTAATTTTATAAACAGACATAAATCTTACCTTAATATCATAATGGTCCTTCAAACCATCTTCAACATGATTTAAAAATTCAAAGATATCTAGTCTATCAAGACAACTGTCCAGAAGTGTATACATGCACTCAAAAGCTGCCTTTCTAATATCCAGGCCATCATCAACTGTATGCTTAAATGGACCCATTTCTACCTGTTTCAAACAAAAAGAATGTGTGAATAAAAGCTTATATAAACCACATTTGTGGACCAGCAAGTAGAGAACTGAGTTGAAAAGCACTCATCTAATAACTTACCTCTCTTATAAGCTCCTTTCTAACTTTTGTTTCATTGTAGAGATGTGGAAGGACAGTATCTAGAAGATCCCTTATTAATGATGGTTTATTATGTGCAGCTGAATTGAACGTGACTAAGGCTACTCTTCGCACATTCAAATCTGGGTCTTCCAATGTTTTTAGAAAATCACCTAAAGATTATAAATAAAGCAACACAAAGTCACAGTAAGTTTCAACTATGAAGTTTTCCCCTAAATTGATAGCTAAAAATGGATTTAAGACTTAGATGTCAGACCCAAACTCATAAAATACAACAAAAGAAAAAAAACAGGCAAACTACTCCATACAATAATGGTTTCAGTGGTGTCTTTGATGATTTTATTCTCTAGAAAATCTAAAGCAAAAAATAAACAAATGGGATCACATCCAACTAAAAATCTTCTGCATTGTAAGGCATTCATTCACCAAAAAAGACATCCTACTGCATCGGGCTATTCACACCATATACCTGAAAAAGAAAGTGCTACTATCCATGAACTCACAAAAGCAAAACAAAATACAAAAACATGGAAAGAGCTGAACAGACAAAAGCCAACAAAAGCCAAGACAGCAAAAGCCAACAAGAGCATGAAAAGTTACCCATCACCACTTATCAGGAAATGCAAATCAAATGAGGAAACAAAGAGGTATCACCTCACGTCAATGACAATGGCTTAGATCAAAAAGCCAGAGACAACAATGGTAGTGGCAAAGTGGAAAAAAGGGATCTTCATCAACTGTTAGTGGGAATGAAAACTAGTTCAATCTCTATGAAAACAGTATATAGATGTCAATTTTAATCACATGTTCCAGCAATTTCACTTTCTACTCAATTTCTACCCAAAACACACAAAATATTAATTAAAAATGTTACATGCACTACAGCACTGTTTAGAAGAATCAGGATGTAGAAAAAACTGAAGTGCCCAATGAAAGATGAATGGAAAAGATGATGTGGTATAGGAAGTTTGAGAGAAAACTCAAGGGGCAGAGCTATCGTTCTGGTGGTTCAACCCAAACAACAAGCAGAGAGAAATCCTGAGCACTGGCGGTGTGGTCCATATTAAAAACAAATGGGAAATTTGTGTACACACACACACACACGAATACTACTGCTTTAGCTATGGGAAAAAGTCTTGTGTTCTGCTATAATATATGAAACTAAGAAGCTGTCAAGCTAAGCTGAAGGGACAGGGAGGAGAAACCATTCAGTTCCAGAATTTGAACTCGGGGATCTCTTACCTGTCTGATATATGATGCTGTACCATCTGAGTCATTATTTTCTGGCCTCTAGGAATCTCTATTTTTAAAAAGCTTCCTAGTGTTTCTTCTATTCACCAAGTCACAATACTAAACTAGATCACAAATACAACTACAGTAATAATTACTGACTATATCAATGATGGACGCCAGTTGACTGTTATCTCTGAGAAATAATTATACAAAGGGTAAAAACAGGTCTGAACAACAGCTTCTGATACTTTCTCCAAGTCCCCAAAAGAAGACCCAGCTTTACTCATTCCCCTCATTCTTGATTTAGTAATCCCTTTTAGTAGAACCCTTAAATTATGGGATAGGGGAAAGGCTGTCTCTATTCTGGCTCACTACAAAGTGGCAAGAAGTTGAAGAGCTAGCTCCTTTGCCATATACCTCTACCCTCAAAAAACCACTAAATTGAGTTCTGGAAGCTTCTAGATATTACCAGTTCTAGTAACAAAACACAGGGAAATAATGCAATGGGGGGAGGGGGTGTCAAAATATAATCCTAAAAGTGTCTTTTTATCTTTATAGGGTATATATATTTTTTTTTTTTTTGCTTTTTGGGTCACATCCGGTGATGCTCAGGAATTACTCCTGATAGTGCTCGGGGGACCATATGGGATGCTGGGAATCGAACCCAGGTTGGCCATATTAGCTGCATGCAAGGCAAACGCCCTACCCGCTGTGCTATTGCTCCAGCCCCCATAGGGTATTTTAATTCTGAGAATTAGCTCTAATTCTGGGGATGCAGTAGTAGTACAGGGGTTCGTGACCAGGTTCATTCCCCAGCTACCTCATAGCCCCTAGAGCAGCACCTTGGCAAACATGTAGCCCTGGTGGCACTGCAGCCTCCACCCACCACCGACATTGAACCTCTGGCCCAGCTGGTCAAAATTCACACCCACACAAATATAGCCCCCAAGCATTGCTTGGGAAGTCCTCCAACTAACCCCTCCACCCCTGCCCGCACAAAGAATTAGTTCTGCCTGTTCGTAATTTTTTTTTTCTTATGCATCTCCACCTTATAAGTCCCCACAAATAATTATGATTAAACAGCTTTCTTATTTATCCATTAGTTGTTTTAAATCATTCCCAAAAAATGAAATACGTGGTTGACTTCACATATCTTATGAAATGTGGTTACAGATTTTAGTTTCTCCCTCCAGAAGTAATCCAAAAACAAAAGCCAAATTTTACTTCTTTGCAGAACTATATAATAATAATTTCATTAAAGGATGATAAAATTGAAGTTAAAACATCACTAAACTACCTTAAAAAAAAAAGACCAGATTAAACTCATTTCAGTTCTCTTGGTGATTAAGTTACTGAAATTGGGTGATTTTTCATACAATTAGATTTCAATATAATTAGTACTTTCTTCTTTGCTTCCACTTACCTATGCAATTCTTTAGTAGTGGATCAATAGGTTGTGGATGATCAGAAATGGTAAATTTCACTGCCGTAACTACCGAGCTTCGGGCATACGATGAGCCTAATTAGAAATAAACGGTAAGTCTACTGAAATTCTCAAGTATCTTTATCACTGTCGAACCAATTCAAGTAATATCAGTGTCTTAAATTCCTTAAAATTCTCTTCAGTCACACGCTGTATCTCAGCATTATTAATGGAGCAAAGTTTACTCATTTCATGAAAGAATTCCAAAGATATCTGAGAGAATAGTGGAAAAATCTAGTCTTCACAAAAATGAGACTGATCAAATTCACAGAGATCTTCAAATTTAATTATAAAAGTAATCCCTAAGAATCAATTTGCTATATCTAAAAAAAAAAAAAAGAGAAAATTTTATAACCTAAATATCTAAGAGGTTAACACTGGTAAATGTGAAAATTCTTCTACTTGACCTAAGTACATTAATATTAGTATATTTAGTAACAGCAAGCTACTGATGTTTTAAGAGATGCCACCAAAACAAACCAAAAACAAAACCAATATTAAATAGAATGAACAGGAATTAGAACAGATTTATTTAACTCTTTGGTCCTTTTAAACAAAATGTCATTCAACTATAACTCCTGAAGAAATCATAACATAAAGCAATAGCTTTGATATATAACAATGTGTTAGGGAAGTGAAGTTCAACTAGTTTACCAGGTATCTTTTCAGCAACCAACTACTGACAAAAACGACCTTTTTAAATTAAAACAAAAAACAAAACAAAACCAATATATATGTATATAGGTACCCACCTGATATCAAATATCCCTTAAGTCGTGGAAGAAGAGTTTCTGGATCAATTAGAGTGAGTTTGCCTAGACATTCTGCAACAACATTTCTAGTTCCTTCTTCTGCACACTCACAGTGCTTTAGTAACAAGGCCCAGATGTTTTCAACGTATGGTTTAAGGCCTACCACTGATGCAGAGCTAATAATTTCCTTCAAAGAGTGAAGCAGAAGATACTGCCTTTTGGGTTGACTGGTTATTTCTTGTAAGACAAACGGCAGATATTCAGGAAGGTTGCCAACACTAATGCTGCCTAACGCATAAGATGCAGCTGATTTGACTTCTTCACTAGGAGATGAGAAGGCTTCTAATATTACAGATTTTAGTTCCAGCTGTCCACTTAAGTCAATATGATGGCCAACTTCTCCAAGAGAAAGCAAAGCTAAGAGACGGATAGAATCTGTAGATCGTGAGTTTTTGACATCTTGAATAAACTGACCTACGACTGCTGGTCCTTCTTTAGGACAAGCTCGAGTTAGGGCAGCTACACATTTGGCAATGGAATAGTAAGACTGCTTATGAGTAAGAGCTGTACTCTGAGAATACACAGGACCAGTCAGCATGCGCAACAAATCCATGTATCCTAGATTACTTGTTCCAGTGACAACCAGTGCCTGGAAGAAGTCTAGCATGGCACTCAGAGCTCCACCCTGCAATAAGGGTGATCTCACCAGTCCAATTAGTTCATTGAGAATGGATCCACTTATCTTTGAAAGGGAAGAGGGATAAACTTTTGCCAATGTGGTAAGGAAACTGATCGCCATCTGCGAAACATGCATATCGCTTTCGCTGATAAGGGGTGGAAGCTCATCTAGAACTGCATCAATCATGGCAGCTGTCAAGCTGTCACTGTAGTTTTTAATCAAAATATCTAGGGCAGAAAGTGTACCAAGTTTCAAGGCTCTCTGGTTTTTCCTAAGAAATGAAGCAAGGATAGGCACTCCTTCTCCCAGGACAGGCCTCAAATCTATCTTCAAAGGTGACCCAGCAATTAATGTCAATGCCTTCACTGTAGTTAAGCGGGTTATTTCATTCTTCAATCTTTCCAAGAAAATCTGAAGTGTATTAGGCAAGTCAGAACCCAGATTGTCTCCAAGGTTGCAAATAATTTGTCCCATACATGAAATAGCCCTTTCCTTGACTTCCTGATCAATGTCAGCTGCTTTTAGCCTCTTAATGGTACAGGTAAATAGATCTTTGATGTAAGGAGTTGCATCAAACGAGGAAGGTTGATCTAAGGGACGAATTACTTTTACAAGCTGTTGAGTAACAAGAAGTGCTTCAGATGTAATCTTGTAAAATGGGTCTCCAACACAAGCCACCACTGGAGGGACCAAAGCCTGAACATGTGGATGGAAGACTTGAGGAGAGTGGTTACAGAGGATTACATACAAACATGACAAAGCATCAATCTTCAAATTTGATGAACTTGATTTATCATTTAGTGAGAAAATGATACCTAAAAAATGAAAATAAATAAAAAAACCTAATTATATGCATACTTTATGAAAGAAGAGAATAAAAAGTTAATCCCTACTATACTGCTAAAGTATCTGCTAAAGTACTTTATCATCTATAAAGCAGTGGAAGTTTCATTAACTATTACAAATAACAAGAGTCAAAAACCTTAAAGGTAAAAATTTAAACGTTACCTTCAAATCTCTAACTTTCAATATGCAAGACGACTCTATGTATTCCATACACAAATTGGCACAGATTTTTTTTTTGGAACTAAGTAACTAAGCTGATCAAAATTTTAATAAAAATGTTTAAATCCCCAAAGTGATTTACTGTTTTCATACCTGGTACAAGTACAGGAATGTGTTGCGTCAGGGCACCAGGTAATACATTTACCAGTTCAGTTAACATGTTAAAACAACACTGACGGGTCTTCACACTTTTTTCTTTCATCTGTTTGTGCAGAGCTTTAACAATGTTGGGAACCTGTAATTATCACACATGCATTAGGAGGCTGGGTTATTAGTTTTCCCTCAAGTACACTTAACACAATTACAGGGGATGAGGAATCATCTTTTTGTTGTTATTCAATTGCTAATCCTACTAATAAGATTATATGCAAAGTTTGTAGCATTTATCTATTATGTGTGTTCTTTTACAACGTTTTTTTCTATACTGGCAAGTAAAACAATTTTCCATGATTAATTGTGAAATAAATTTAACCAGTCATTTGCAAACACTTTTAGAAGGAAACTATATAGTATTCTGAACAAAAATAGTACACATACACATTACAAGGGAAAAAAGAATTAATGCTGTCACTACATTTAGTTTACAGTTGCAATAAAATCAATCTCACTTCCAATATAATTACAAGGAGCAGAAAGACAGCTCAATGGACTAAGTGCATATTTTACCTGCAGGAGATCCCTAGCACCACTAGATATGGCACCAAAAGCAAACTTACAAGCACAAAGTATAATTCAAACACCTCTAATCTTTCCATTGTTTTGTGGCCAGGTAAAACCTAAATTCCCTCTTTTGGATGCCACAATATCACACATACCCTAACCAACAGAAAGACTGATGACCGAAATAAACCCTTAATGCCCTATACCAACATCAAGATATCAGAATTACTTGTGATTATACTTGACCCCTATAAACTTAAACCTGCAATATTTGAAAATAAGATACATCCACTAGCATTGCTGGGGTGGCCTGGGTAATCCCCCCACCACATTGTCCCAAGCAGTACCATAACTTCGAACCCTCAAACTGAATCATTTATATATCTGCTTTCCTACATTAGTGGTTTAGTAACTCTCATTTTCTGCTGTGATCTATAAAATATGTAACCCTATGAAAATCTTTTACACAAGGGGGGGGTCTTATGAAAATCTGCAACACAGGAAAATGATTAATTTGTACTAGTTCTAACACTTAAAATCTAAGATGTCTTGAAGTGAAAAATATGTACTTTGTTAATAGTAAAGCTGTGCATAGCAGGCATTTAAATTTTCATCAGATTATGGAATCTTAAAATTATTTTGCTTATTCAGTAAACTAAAAAAAATTTGTAAAAAGTGATTTACAAATAAAATTAAAAACATATGAAACTACTATTTAAACATACCCCAGATTTTGTCCCCTAAAATACGTTCTTAAACTCCCAATTCCAAATGAAAACAACAGAATTAAAAGCAACATATTTATTCCTGTGATTTACAAAACCACCTATTTTAAAATTAACTACCTTTTACTTATTTTTAAATAAACAAAACTATTCCTTTAAACTGACCTGACTCTGAAGCATTGTTAAAGGTGTTTCTCCCTGCTCCATTGCATCAGGGTCACAGAGCCAACTTTGCACAGGACGAGTTTGCTTCAAAAGAGAAAGGTATGCATGAAAAACATCTGCCTTTACATTCTCTTCACGCTCTTTAAATCTGGAGATTAGTGCAGGAGAAACAGTCTTGTAGAATTCTGGAAGCATTTCATGCCGCGTGCTAACTACAGCATCCAAACACTTAGCAGCTGCACGTCTCACTTTCCAACTCATGTCATCATCATCACTATATTCATCATCACTCCCTAAAAAAAAGTTAATATTAAATACATTATTAATCGTAAGAAAAGCTTGTTGTTTAATATGTAAAACAAATTAACACCCACAAATTAACTTTTCACTAACATTATACAGTAATGGAGAAGTGAAAAAAAAAAAACAAACCTGAAATTTAGATAGAGTTTTTACTTATCTGTTCCACCATTGGCCCCTTGACCTTTATGTGTGTGTGTGTGAATTATCTGAAAATTATTTCCTTCTAGCCCATAAAAACCAAATTCGTTATGTGAGATGCAGTCAACAGAATGACAAATAAATATATTAGCAATTCTATAATTATCTGAACATAATTATCTAATAATACTATGGCTGAAATAGGCATAATGAATTCAACATAAAGAACTAGCATCTTAAAAATCAACAAACAAATGCTGGAAAATGTATTACTACCATTTTATTTCCCCCCCAAAGGAGATTCCTATAAATTATGGCTTCTTACACATGTTAATTTTGCACCAAACAAAACCTAGGCACTAGAATTAAGTACTCAAAGAATTATAATTTTAACCTTCATGCAGCTTACATTCTAATTACACGTCAGAAAGTGATTAAGTGTAAAATAAATTTGAAATTCTGGAAAGGAAGCTAAGAGCATTACGGGAAAATTGCATCCTGAGATGGAAGACTGAAGGAGAAATGAGAGGTAATCAAATATAACACCAAAAATTTTGTCTCAAGAAACTACAAATAATAGAACTATCTGGGGATAGAAAATGGCTAAAAGAAATGGGTTTTATAGGGAATAGGGGTGGGCAAAGACAAGATTTCTTAAGATATTTGAGCAGAAAATCAATTAAGATGTTACGTATAATAATAGGAGACTAACACCTAAGGACAGCTGAAATAAGTGTCAGGAGGATGACTCCACGGCTTGATAGCTGATCTCATGCAATGGGGGAAAAGGAAGCTGGGATGGAGAGAGGAGCACTAAATAAATGATGGTTGGAGGGATGGCTCAGGATAGTAGATGCATGTTGAAAGTAGACTATGGACCAAACATGATGGCTGCTTGTTACCTGTATTGCAAACTGTAACACCCAAAATGACAGAGAGAGTGAGACTGTGCCTGCCACCAAGGTTGGAGGTGGAAAGGGGTGGGGGTGGGGATGGGGGGAGGGATACCGGGAACATTGGTGGTGGAGATTGGGCACTGGTGGAGGGATGGGTACACGAACGTTGTTCTACTGAAACGCAATCATGAAAGTCTTTAAGTCTGTAAATGTATCTCATAATGATCCATTAAAATTTAAAATGTTACATATATGAACTTCAAATTAATTTTTTGAGTTTTTGTGGGTCACACCAAGGGATGCTTAGGGGTTACTCCTGGTAGTGCTTGGGAGACCATATGGAATGCCAGGGATCAAACTCGGGTAGGCCACATGCAAGGTAAACGCCCTACCTGCTATACTATTGCCCCAGGCCCAGAACTTCAAATTTATAAGCAAGTTCCAGAGTTAATATAAAATTTGGGAGGTAAGAGAGATAGCTAGTTCAAAGGGCGAGAGCCCATACTTGGTATACTTAATGCCCCAAACTCAATCCCTGCCACCACATTCGTACCATCCCCACAACCAGCAATGTTAGGTGTAGCCCTAGTAGTCTCTGAGCACCACTATTTTAGGAAGGTTCTCCAAATGGTAAAATTATTTTAGGCTGGGAGAGAGGATGGCGGTTGTCTTGCATCATAACTGGCAGTGCCCAGCGATTACTCTTGGCGGTGCTCAGGGGACTATTAAATCAAGACAACCATATTAATTCTTATACTATCCAACCCTAAAAACATTTTTTAAGGTAAAATTTGGGTTTTAGCATACTGATATTGAAGCTAAGACACTAATGAGATCAACAAGAACATAGGGATAGGACGCAGGGAGGGTTCAGTGACAAAAATAACTCCCTTGTAAGACTAAGATTGTGAACTTGATACTGTACTATACTATTGGGGTGAACTCTGGCCCCACTTTTGGGTAAATAATTTCTAGAGTACGGCAATCGCCTGTGTGAAACCTGGCAATCATGTGTGTGATCACTGAAATCATATGCACAATACCTTTCAAATACAACCAGAATTTGAGCATTATCACTTATTGGAGGAAAAAAAAGAAGAAAAAAACAAGAAAATAAGAGTCTAGTCAGGAGATGGTTCAAAGGACATGCCTTGCATGTGGGAGGCCCATGTTTAATCCCTGGCAACACCAGAAGCACTGAGCAGGGAAGGAATAGCCCCTAAGCACCACCAGGTATGACAAAAACAAAACGAAATAATATTAAGTGAAATCTGAATTTAGTGGAGTAATAACAAAGGAATAACAACAAAGATAAGAATAAAAAGAGTCAATGTTGGTACCCTAGAAGTAAATGCTAAGACAGAAGATCTCTGGTCTCTGATGATCCAATCTATCACTAGAAGACTAGAGTCAACAAAGAGGGTAAAAGAGAATTGTAGGAAATTATTGAGGTGTTATGCTATAAAGATGAAAAATGGAGAATAGCTATTAGAAGTATAAGGGATGAATAGCATCTTGTCTTTTTTGATATTGGCTGAAGTGCCAGATCTAAAACCTAGAAAGTCATTACATTAAATATACTGAGAGAACTAAATTAAAAAGTGGAAAAAATAACAGGAACTTCATCAAACCACCAAACCATAAGGACACCTACTGACTTACCCAACACCTCTACATGATTCCTTAAAACCACTGGAAATACAAGCTATATCTCTGATGTGCTACTCCTTTCCAAAGTAAAATTATACATCATAGTAAAATATCACTCTCAGAAGCCTAAGGAATGTCTAGATTATCTGTCAAAATTATTATGGCACCTCAAAAGTATCTGGGCATTTCCATAAAAGAAGTTATGTATACACTGCTCTAAACCAAACTAAAGCAAAGACACTTTATCTTCTTTTCACTCAACTAATTTATAGCTTTAATATAAAGAAGAACACGATTTTGAAAACACTGAAGTTTTGAAAGTTTTGAAAACACTGCTGCTCAGTACAGCCCAGTAATTTAACCAATTAGATATTGCTGAAACTAAGTTACATCCATTGTCATTATTATAAACAGTATCATTTGGGATGAGAATTATCGTAATTTCTAATACTGGGTCTTCTGTGAAAACGTGACAAATTTTACTTTGTATGACATACCTTGGTCATCATCATCTCCACCATCTGCATCCATTGCATTTTCATCTTCATCTTCATCATCATAATTATAATTTGGATCATAGGTAAGATATTTAAGACAAATATTTATAATGGTAGAAACATGAGGATATACTTCCTTAGGACATCTAAAGACAAAAACAAAAACTGCACTCAGTAACTACTTTCATCTTTGATTGTAAATATTTACCACACTTTGTTTTATAACAGATCTCTAATTAACTTCAGAAAGTGATTCTCCAATTTTTCAACAATCACCCTCATTCCTATTCCACTCATTTCATGCTTTAAAGATTTATCTTTCAATTACACTTAATAAATTTGCTATTGCTACAAAGACTTAATAAATTTGCTATTGCTACAATAACTAACCCTTTGGGGGGCTGGAGAAACAGCACAGCGGGTAGTGTGCTTGCCTTCTAACTACTGACCCAGTTGTGGTCCCTGATATCAATCCCCACTATGGTGTAATCTCTGAGCACAGGGTCAAGAGAATGCCCTGAGTATATGTACTGAAAAAAAGAATCCCTCCTTCCCTCCCTCCCACTCATATTTTAACATCTCTGAAGTCAACGAATTCTTATACAAATGATATGAGAACAGTTACAAATGCCCAATAAAGGAGTAATTTTTCTGTTGAAAGAACAAAAATAAGCCCCATGATGTGATAATTACTATGGCCCATAAACCCGTTGAAATTTTAAGGCAGTGCTACTTTACTGACAAAGATAAAAGATAGCCTTTAACCAAAGCAAAGAAAAAAAAAAAGACCTCTTACTCATACTCATTCTTATACATAACAACATTTCAAATTTTCATTGTTTGCCAGTTAGTGCTTAGTAAGAATTATTTCACATCTGAAATCCAAAACTCAATCCTGGGCATCGGTAAACTAACCCATGTCTCCTCTCTATATCTAACCTTAAGATTTTGATTTGTCTAGATCTTAACTATTATTCTATTATTAAGGGATAATTTTTATTTGCAAAACAAGAGTTCCCAATAACTTACCTTCTAACGAATGATTCAAAGGCCTGAATGCAGTACTCTCTTAATTCATCGTCATCAACATTACAAAATTTTACCACCAAAGGAATTATCTTCTCAAGGTATTCACCTAAGAAAAGCATATTGTTTCTTACAATACATCCATCAGTTTTTTCAATTAAAGAAATTTAAAATAATTAAACAATTCTTACCTATTCTATGGCCAGCTTGTCTACTAATAGCAGCAATGCACTGTATGTAGGTTCTTGTTGTTGACATGGAATCATTTTTGGACAACTCAGATAACAGATGTTCAATAAGATCTACAAAAACTATATTTCCACAGCTCATAACCAGGTGGCCAAGAGCAATAATGGTTCTTTTCCTTACTGCAAGTCTAGGGCTGGTCAACTGGGGGAGCAGACAGGTCAGAATTGAAGGATGGAAATTAACAAGAAGTCCTCCTTGCCTTAAAATGCAATAAAAAAAAAAGACAGAAATAATTCAAAATGCCAAAACACATTGTAATAATGTCTAGCTTGATTTTAATGTATTCAAACAGTAAAAATTTAGTTGATGGTAATTCAAACTCAGAATGAAACACCAAAGTATTATCACATTTATTAACATTAAAGAAAACCTGAGCTAAGTCAATGCAATCAATTTGAAAATTTGTATCTCCAATAGGCTCGGCAGTACATCTGAAAGTAAAAATTGTCACTTTACCCCTTCTCAGATCTCTAAATTATTTTCTCTACTGAAGTTTTTTTTTCTTTTGAGACTTTGCAACATTTAAAACCAATGTCTTACCACTCTGCTCCCTCACCACATTGCCTTTACTTATCTATTAAGTTACACTGACCCTAATGGAATAACCAACCATATCTTCCAAGTTACTTCAGATGTGTGATTCATTAAAGTGAAGAGAAGCCAAAGTACTGCCAGGAAAGTATTTGTGATTAAGTCCCACACAAGGGAAAAAAAAATCCAACTGAACTTTCACTATTTATAAAATTCAATTATAAATTTTTCACTTTGCTCAACCAATCTAACAGAATGACTTCTTCCAACTCTTATGTTCACTCTATGTTATGGAAAATTGGTCCATGTTTTCCAACACAAAGACTTACTTATGCTGATACATACTCTATGCCTGAGCATACCCATTCTTCAAAACTAAATTCTGGCACCACACTTTCCTTCATAAACTTTTATGAATCACTCTACTGTAAACACAAAGCATGATATACATCAGTTAACATTCAGCCCCATAGTGCCTTCTATTATATCAATTATGTCAATATACTAAGATGTAAGTTTTTTGTGTACTAGGATAATAGCTCTACATTTTTACTATAAGTTTGTACATGACACATTTGTTAGCGGGTTACGCAAAATTATAGCATAAATATAATGACACACGGCTGAGATCAGTTCAAAGGGCTAAATCACATGCTTTGCCTACAGAAGACCTGGTTTGCACCAGCACAGAGCCCCAAGTACCACCAGGAGCAACCTGGTTGTGGCCCATTAAAACAAACAAAAAAATTGTGATGGGCCAGGCTAGAGTACTACATGATTTGCATTCAGGAGGCCCAACTCTGATCCTCGGCAACAAATGGTTCTCTAATCACTAAGCTGTGAATAGTTCCTTGGGTACCAGGATATTGGGTATAATTCAAAAATTAAAAAAACATATAATAATGATGACCTATGATGAATAAGCTCAAGGTTAAACTAAAAGCCAAGTCTTTTAAGACATTTTTCTTTAGTAGTTGCCTAGAACTATCTTTTTAAGTTTTATTTCCAGAGGAAAGTTAAGAAATCAACAATTGTATAAAGTGAAGCTACTTCCTGTCCCATATATCATTGTAGCTGATGTTTTCAAGTATCATTTCTACCAGCAACTTTGCCAAGTCTACTAACACATCTATCTAAATAGCACTGTACTCAAGAACATGAAAGAATATTGAGTATGTTTTAAAATATTTGAATCAAAGATTTTATTATTTTCAAAACTACAAAACAATAAGTGCTATCCAACATTACTATGGTGATCAATATTATTTCCTTTTTTCTCCCCTCACCCTGTAGCACTGTCCTGTTGTTCACCGATTTGCTCGTGCAGGCCCAGTAACGTCTCCATTGTGAGACTTGTTGTTACTATTTTTAGCATATCGAATACGTCACGCCTATGTTGTTGTAAAATAACCATAATTAAGTACGATTGGGCTAAATTTTAATGTACTGGCAGAACTTCTAATAAATGCACTTAAAATTTACTTCAAATAGGCATTTTTACCTGCTCAACATATCAGCCATTATATCTAATGCTTCTAACTGAACAGAGACATCTTCCTGCTTTGCTATTGCACTGGTAAGACGTCCAGTTATCTTCTTACATACATTAGCAGCCAAAGCAGAACCTGGATGAGTAAGAAATCAGTAATAATTTCAAGACACGTATGCTGAGTTTCACCTTTTATGCTCATCGGTGGTCAGCAGGCATTCAACAAATCCAAACTTGATTATGAAACTGACTTAAGAAATCCGTTTTAGAAAACCATGTATTTCAAAATAAGTAATTTTTCAGTAAAATAACTTACTTCATATAATAGAAATTAGAATAACTACAGAATGGACATGTAACCTAGAAAAAATACTTAGGAGCTGGAGGGGTAGTATAGTGGGCTGGGTGTTTGCTTTGCAAGCTGCCTACCTGGATTCAACTCCCATATGGTTCCCCTGAGTCTGCCAAGAGTGATATCAGAGTGCAAAGCCCAAAGTAGGCCCTTGAGCATCACCAGTTGTGGCCCCCAAATAAACAACAACAGAACACACAAAAAGAAATACTACTATTGGATAATTATTTCTATGCACTGACATAAATGTAGATTATGGAGTGGTCTGGAGAGAAATCAGAGTAGGGTGAGGGAGTTTACCTTGCACACAGCCGATGTGGATTCAAACCAAAACCCAAATGGTCCCCTAAGCCCCATAAGGAGCAATCCCCGAGCATACTGTGTGTGTTTGCCCACCAAAAAAAGACTAAGATGTTGGTTGTAACTCTAGACTGAAAAGAGGCAGAAAGAATTTTCTATACATGAATCCTCTTTACTTGTAACCTCTTTACTTTTAACTTTTAGTGAATTAAAAAAAAAACACAAGCTATAGTCTGAGTTCCAACAATTAACATGTTTTTTAAAAGATAGCTAAAACCTTTATTCAGACCCTTCCATTTCAAATTTTTTAACTTCTTTATGCAGAAGAAATGTTTCAGAAGACACAAATCAAAGTTACTACTATTTTCAAATAGATCATATTCCTAACAAAAGAGGAAAAGAGAAGAAACTGAAAAAGAAACAATCTGGCTGGAAAAATAAAAATTCTGGTTGGAACTAGTATCCAGTAAAAAGAAACTTCTTTTAATGGGAGAAAAATGTGGGGAAAATTATCAATATAACTAAACACAATTATAGTGAATAGATCTCAGAACAAATGAAACAGTTTATTGAAACAACGAATATGGGTAAAGTAACAATGGTAGAATACAGCAGCAAAAGCATCAGTTCAGTTTTGAACTAAAAGAAAATAGATCTGAATCTTCAATAAGTTAATTAAAATTTTGCATGAATTAACCCACTCTTGTTCATGTTCCATTCCCTCAACAAATCTACTAAGATCTCCTACTTAAGACCTATTATGACTGATGTTTAGGTCAAGTAAAATATCTGCCTTTCACCCATAATCATCATACCATATTTTTTTCAGTCCAAAATTTGGTTTATAACCTTTAATAGAGCAATTGTAGAGTTCAGTAATAAATGGCTTTTAAGTAACACTGACACAATTTTGGGGACAGAAATAATAGGCTGTAGCCTATTTTTGAGCAAAAAAAAAAAAAGTCATAAAATCTGTAGTAAATACACAGGAAAATACAGTTATGCGTCACCTAGCATAACCAGCACAGTGAATGGTCAATATTTTCTAAGCTAATGGGCAAAAAATTATATACATGAAATCTACATTATCCACAGCTTTTCATAAAATATTTCACCCCATTTACACATTAGACAATAACTTTTAACCTACTAATTTTAGACAATAGCTTGGTAGTCAAAACCAATTCTAAAACTTACACTGACTAAGCATTTCTGTCAAGAGGCAAAAGTTAATTAACTGACATACTCATTAATTTTAATTTTAACTTTTTAAAACTACAAATAATTATATGAGCCTCAGTCTTAATTAAAGACACTAGTAAATTGAAGTATTTTACAGCTGTCTAAACTATTACATTTTGTATAATACATTTTGATGTGAAGCAAAATTAATACTGAAAATAGCTAATAGGAAATACCCCGTGATTGTAGCTATATTTTTCCCTCACAGCACTGTGCATCGGCCGTTAGATCTATTCTGTAGTCATAATCCATAAAACAGAAAACCTTACATATATGTGAAAATCCTTTAAAATGATATTCATGAGATAAATTCAATGAAAATAATATTCTTGACTGGAGAGAATAGGGGTAATGCACTTGCCTTGCATACTGCTGACCATATTTCAAACACTGGCACCAGATATGGTCCCCTGAATACCCCAGGCGCAACCCAAAAAGAAAACAAAAAACTAATTTAAGACTAAAATTTTGAGTATATTTAATTATAGGGATGCTTACAAAAGTCTTTAAGGATAAACAAATCTCTACTTGCCCAGGAGGAACAAAAGTAAAGGAGAAGTCCATATACAAGAACATAGGTAAAAATGTTCTACTTACCACTGGAAGCTGGAGGAAGTTCTCCAATTACTGTTTTAAGACCAATACTTGAAATATCTCGAAGCTGTTCTTTGTCAGAAAGCATATTGGTGCAGAGGGTATCTACAATTGTCTCCACTTGGTATTCTTTCACTTTACTCACTAAAGGGCCAAGACTGTAATATAAAGAAAAAAATTTATCTAGATAAATATAAAATCAGAAATTAGGAATATCAATTTTTCTGCCTAATGACTATCAACAAAAAGTAAGTATCAAGAATAGTTTACCAATGAAGGGTATTTTTTTTCTTTTACTGAAGTAAAACAGTGTCACTGAGAAAAATATGAAAGGGGAAAGTTGTCTGCTCTCTTATAAACAATATACCCTGCTACTAGGGTTTGGACACCATTCCCAAGTCATCTCCACCCTGCCCCCATCTTTTCCTCAATAACCTTACACTGCTTTGTGTTCTTGCCTATTAATTTTTATACCTTTACATTACAAATGAAAAAATGAAAAAAATATTACAAGTAAAGGTAATTATTTTACAGGTAAACTAATTCAATACTTGTCTTTCGTTCTTATACTGCTTCACAAATTCCCTTCATCTTCCATTTTTAAGTGAATACCAAAATTCCTATTTTTTATAGCTGGGTTAGAGCCCAGTGTATAAATGCACATCATCTTTATCCAATCTTGTTTGGCTAATTCAGTTGCTTCCATACTTTTACTGTAAAAACTACTGCAATATATATGGAATGAAGAATATATATAGAATGGAGAAAACTTTTTGTAGTTTTTGTGCCAAGCAGAGACCGTGCTAAGGGGCCCAGCACCAGGGTTTGATCCATAAATTGCATGCAAGGCAAGCACTTTAATCTCTATACCGTCCTTCCAGCGTCATGTGCTGATGTTTTAATTCTTCAGACAGGTAGCCAAAAGTGGGGCAGCTATATCAAATGACTGCTGTAACTTCATTAGAAAGCACTTACTATTTTCCAAAACAATTGCACCAATTCACATTCTCAACAGCACAGACTTCTTTTTCTGTCACATTGCTGCCAATGTATTACGCTGCTTGTGATGTAAGCCATTCTCACAGGTACATACCTCACATGACCTTAATTTGTACTTCCATTAATCAGTGAAATTTAATTGTTTCATAAATTTATCAACAGAATGTGTTCTTTAATATCTATTCAAATCTTATGCTTACTTCTTTATACACCTAGATATTAACTTATCAGATATGATGTACAAATAAGTATCTTTCAATACAGTAGACCTCCTTTAATTTCAACTAAGGGGCCAGAGCATACAGTAAGTAGGGTGCTTATCATGCATATGGCCTGCCCAGGGTTCAATCCCCAGCTCTCTATATGGTCCCCCAAGCCTGCCAAGAGTGATCCATGGGTGCAGAGCCAGAAGCAAGACCACCAGTTGTGGCCTCCTCAGAAAAAGGACCTCAATTCAATTTAATGCAGCTCTAATTGTTTATCTTTACTCTCACTGTCCCTGCCTTTGGGGTTAAGTCTGTAAAACATCTCTATCCTTAATGTCATTAAAAGCTTATCACCTATTTTTTCTTCTTTGTTATCTAAATGTTAGAAGCATTAAAAGTAACTGCAAAAATGCAATTAGTACTACACTGTGCTTTGAAACATTCCAATCTTTCATATCAATAAGTCTTCATATATTAAGAGTGGAGAAAAGTTCCTATCTTCATGCTCTTCTCACAGAATTTAGCACATATTAGGAACTTTTTAGTAGATTTAGTAGATTCAGTAAAGTGCCATGAAGTTCAAAATTATTTTGAGTAACAAGGTATGGTTGCTCCAAAATTTTACCATCTGGCTGGTGAGGTACAGAACTCACATTAAAAAATGAAACCCGGAGGACTGGAGCAATAGCACAGCGGGTAGGGCGTTTGCCTTGCACGCAGCCGACCTGGGTTCGATTCCCAGCATCCCATATGGTCCCCCGAGCACCGCCAGGAGTGATTCCTGAGTGCAAAGCCAGGAGTAACCCCTGAGCATAGCTGGGTGTGACCCAAAAAGAAATCCACAGAAACAAAAAAGATAAAAAAAAAACCACACAGGTCAGAGACAGGATTGGGGATATACTCAGTAGCTTTTTTCCTTTTAAAATTAAATACCAATGTAGCATCTTATCACTGCCTTGACAACTAAGCAGATAGTTTTTTTTCTTCCTCTAATGTGAAATAGACATATTAAGATACAAAACATTTAACTGACCTTGTATTCTTAAAATGAACCCCAATGAGTCATGGTATGTAATAGTATTAGGATTTATTTTGTACATTTAAATGAAAGTAAATGTCATAAAATTTAAAACTCATTTTTCTTTATTAATATTCACTCCAGTTAGGAACTGTTGTCAGTATTTAAGTACAAGATCAGAAGCTTTCATATTTTATGTTCTGAAACAGTATTAGGCACCATCTGTACTTAAATTACCTTTCTTTGAGGTTTAAAAAAACAGAGCACGGATTTTCGTGCCTTCTGAGTTTCTTCTGGATGATTAGTTCATAGACTATTTCCCCAATTTGGGGCAGTGGGCCACACCCAGAGGTGCTCAGAGGTCATTCCCAGTGGAGCTCAAGAAACAATGTGGTGCTCAGGATCAAACCTAGGCTTTCTGCATACAAGCAAGGACGCAGCCCTTTGAGTCCTCTAGCCCTCCCCAATTTCTTGTTAAGTTACTTAGTAATCTGTCTCCTTACTAGGGTTTTCTCTTGTAAAAATAAGCTCCAGGGTTTCATCTTGTAATACTTTCTGCATGTATCTTAATTTCTTATTTTCTTAAAAATGTGTCATTTTCCCCTCAACCCACTAACTGTAAGATTGTCAAAAAGATGAAAAAGATAGTACAATGGGTGGGGTTCTTGACTCACATGGGGAGAACCATGGTTGGATCCCCAGCATCATACGTGGTCCTCCCAACAAACCTAAGACTGATCCTTAAGTGCAGAACCAGGAATAAGCTCTGAGTACCAACAGCTATGGCTCCCAAACCACAAAATAAATATAAGCAAAAATTAAAATAGAAAAATCAAATTTCTATCATTTAAATAAAGATCAATACTCATGATTAAGATCTATACACCTTTCCACGCTTATATTTTTTTTGCTTTTTTGTGTCACACCTGGCGATGCACAGGGGTTACTTCTGGCTTTGCACTCAGGAATTACTCCTGGAGGTGCTCAGGGGAGCATATGGGATGCTGGGAATTGAACCCAGGTTGGCCACGTGCCCGCAGTACTATCGCTCCAGCCCCACCTCTCCACTCTTAATCTTGATATGCTGGTAAGCATTCAGCAGTACTGAAGAAATCTTACTTCTGTTTATTAAAAGATCAAAAAGGCTAACATAAAAATAGATTCATCTGCATTACCATAACTTATTTTGAAAGCCTATTTCCTTTTGTTAAACTGATAAAAATTCCCCAAATTAAGTAAAACTTTGCTGCATGCCGAGAAGTATTTTCTCCTGTTTCACCAAATATTAATAAAAGCCTTAGCACACAAAATCTTTCTAAGTAAATCCAACTGAGGAAATAAGACAATGCTTCATTTGATGCTCAATAACACAAATTTTCATTAACTTCATTTTATAAGAAACTATCTTTACTAACTATGCAAACTAAGTATTTCTAAAATTTAGTATACACAAATTCAATAGATGTGTTAATAGGTCCAAGAATTGAAATCCTACACCTATTAGGAGAGTCAACATCACACAACATAAGGTGTTCCTAGTGTAGAGTAGACACAATTGCAGTTCCCACAATTTTAAACATTCTTTGTAACTACCATTGGTATGAAAAATATGATTTTACTGGTGCTACTCTGTATTAATTTTACTCCCATCATTGATTCTTAAATTTATACCCTAATTAGAACAAAGAGATGGATAAAAAAACTTTTAACCTAGCTTTTCCCAAAAAAAAAAAAAAAAAACCCCAAAACCTGGGTTATGTATGGTTAAATAAGTGAGAAAGTCCCTATTCACCCATATGTACTTCTTAAGAATTAACATGCCATGATTGACACATTTGGTTAACATAGAATTATGAGAAAATGTACCAAAAGTCCCAAGCACAATCAGTAAACATTTACCTACAAGTTCTTACATAAAATTCCAGAGAGTAAAAAACTACCAATTATTCACTAAGGCTTTTAACAAGGGGGTGCTGGAGGAGCAGTAGTGAGGCAAATGAGATGGGGAGCACGTACAAAGAAACTTACCATTTGACAGCTAAATTTTGTACCTCTCCATTTTTATCTTCCAGTAACTTCAAAATCATTTTTACTACCTTCCTTTCACTGTCATCATCCAATTTGATGGAATCTTTCTGCAATTCTGTCATCAAATCATTTGTAGCCATAAACCTGTAAAAAATTAAAATTTGATTAACTTTTAAATTATTAAAAAAAGACTTTCATCATCTCCCCTTCCTAATAACTTATTTAAACAGTATCTTTCCCGTTAGTTAATTTCAAATTTACTAACAGAATGAACAATGTGTACTCTTTCATTCTAATGCATCACTGCTCTCAGAAAGTGAGTATCTCGTTTACTCTATATGTGATTTGAATTTTATCTAGGAAGCTTTAACTATGAATATTAAGAACATCTTCCTGAATACCTTCCTGTGTCATACTGTGTGTGAATTGAGAAATTTACAAAATAAATTTTCAACTCCACCTCAACTTTTACCACTAGGTAGCAAGTGTGTTTTCAAGAAGAGGATTATAAAAAATCGTTTCGAATGACATCAAATCTTTTCTCCTTGAAAAAAAAAAGTACAAAGTAAGATTAAACACTGAACCATGCTCCACTATTTAATCTCAACTAAATGAAACAGTTGAGAGGCTGGAGCAATAGCACAGCGGGTAGGGCGTTTGCCTTGCACGCAGTCGACCTAGGTTTGATTCCCAGCATTCCATATGGTCCCCCCAAGCACCGCCAGGAATAATTCCTGAGTGCATGAACCAGGAGTAACTCCGGTGCATCACCGGGTGTGACCCAAAAAGCAAAAAAAAAGAGAAACAGTTGAACTACTGGAAATATAGGCTTGAGACTTTTCCTCATATGCCTACGTCACCATAGTTGTAAAAATCTATCCTAAGTCAATTAATAAACAATTACTGAATCTGCAATAAAAATCAGCATCAAAGAAAATAACCTGAGTACTGACAAAGCACACTAACACAGCAATTCATCACTTTTAAGGAAATTTTAAGAATCATTTTAGTAACTGGTACATATATTTATTTAAATACAATTTGAATTTTTAGATTATATGCATGCATAATTCTATCAAATCTTGTAAAACTGTTCATTAAAAAGCCTATATTTAAAATGAGATAAAATAAAAATAAAGCATGAACCTTAAGAAAATGGGTAACTCTTATGATTGGAAACCTCTTCTCATTTTGTATAATAAAACAGAATTAAAACCTCACAATATTCTGAATGTAAAAACACGTGTACAAACCAGAAAACCACAAGTGAGAAGAAGCACACTATTGCAGGCACTTCTGCAAAACACACTGAAGTAGTTTAACCATTCTGAGATTCACACACACACACACACACACACACACACATACACACACAAAAAAAAAAACCAGAAAAATAAACTAACCACAGCAATTGACCTTCAAGGACCTCTGAAACGCTACTCATAAAACGCAAGAAAACAGTGATCATGAATATAAGTAAAAAAAGCTGGTGACCTCAAAACAAAAACTTGTATAACATTTCTAAACATATTTTACTGGTAAGTCAAGTCATCCTATTGTTATTATCTATATAGTTACCTTCTATTATGCTACAAAGGCTTGGAAAAGGAAAAAACAGTAAATAAACCTTGACTTCTGGAGTCATCTAAGAAAGAAGCCAAAATCTGACTAATGGTAAATTTGGGGGGTAGGAGGGGAGAGTTCTAAAAAATTAAAAAGATAGTATTTTTTAAAATTCAGAAAAACAATGGAATGAAAAGGTGTAACAGTTTTCATTGCTGACTCTAAACCCAAAGTCCTAAGAATAACTTCCTCCGTTAATTTAATATTAAACTGTGTACCAAACCCTAACCATAGCACAGCGGATAGGGCATTTGCCTTGCACACAGCTGACCTGGGTTCGATTGCTCCGACCTTCTCGGAGAGCCTGGCAAGCTACGGAGCACCCCGCCCACACGGCAAAGCCTTGCAAGCTACCCGTGGCCTATTCGATATGCCAAAAAAAAAAAGTGAACAAGTCTCACAATGGAGACGTTACTGGTGCCCACTCGAGAAAATCAACGAACAGGAGGACAGTTATACAGGACAGTACTTAAGGCCAGACAGATAAGGTGTACAGGAGTAAGAGGCTAACTTGCATTCAACAGACCAGATCTTCCCTGTCACCACATAAGCTCGCTCGCTCTCTCTCTCTCTCTCTCTCTCTCTCTCTCTCTCTCTCTCACACACACACACACACATACACACACACACACACACACACACACCCCATCCCCACGCAGTTACACACCCCTATTTGTATAGAAGTTATTAGCACATAGCACATTTGAACTCAATTTATAAATGTGCTGTAGAGATAGCACAGCGGTAGGGCGTTTGCCTTGCACACAGCCAGCCCCAAGCCGGGTTCGATTCCTCCACCTCTCTCAGAGAGCCTGGCAAACTACTAAGAGTATCTCGCCCGCACGGCAAAGCCTGGTAAGCTTCCCGTGATGTATTCGATATGCCAAACACAGTAACAACAAGTCTCAAAATGGAGACGTTACTGGGCCCGCTCGAGCAAATCGATGAACAACGGGAGGGCAGTGGCAGTGCAGTTTATAAATGGTCTATTATTACCATTTTAGGTATGGTTTTAAGCACTGGAATGAGACTCCCTTTCTTTTAACTTTTCCATCGAATGTGACAGTAAATGTTACCATAAATGCAAAGCCATTTTTGAAACACTATTCAAGGGCATTTAGCAGAATGCTGAAGAACTGAGGTTTACGCTGGATCTAACCACTCCTAACCAAAAGCAAACAGTGGTTTGTATGGCTGAAGCTGGCTTGAGATTGTAAAGTTTATCTATGTATTCCCCCCTCCACCCCCATTTAGTGAGAACTTACTGTGATAGATGCTAGGAATATCAGGGCTGGAAAAATCAGCCTTGGAACTTAAAGGCTGAGGAGAAGTGTATTAATTTTTAAAACCACAGACACATGAATATATATTATATACACACATATACTAATTATTATTATGAACTGAGATAATGCTGTGAGAATATGAAACAAAGAAAACACAATGGTACAAAGTAAACTGACCAGACTGGAAAGGTTTGTGTACCAAGGCAGACTCTAGAGCATAGACAGGAATTAGAGTAGGTGGGTACGGGGACAATAACGAAGGGACCAAGAAATTAGAGAGCGCAAGCAAAGATATAGCTTTGCAAACTGAGCACATGCTTTACATGCAGGGGGCCAGGTTCTATCCCAGGCACAACATCTCCGTTCACCAACCACGACCAGAAGTAATCCTTGAGCAAGGCAAAGAGTAACCCTTGGGCCTTTCTGTGAGTGGCTAAAATATAAAGATAAAATATAAAGCAACTTGTAAGTCTGAATAGAATTTCCGTCTCTAACTACAATGGAAAGCTACTAAAAAGCATGTAGGAGATGGAGAGCAAATATAATGATCAGAATTGCATTTCAAAAATATTACTCCAGGAACACTGTGGAAGTTTGGGTAGAGCCAATTTTCATTTAGCCAGACTAAATGAGAAGAGTCTCCTGCCCCTGCGCCTGGCTGTCCTCGCCGGGGCCCCTTGGAGGGAAGCGGGTTGAGTTTCCCTCCCTGCCCCGACCAGGGCTCCGGCTCCAGAACTAGCCACCACCATGCTGAGACCATAAGCCTTCGGATCGGTGCTGAGCATCCTCCAAATTCCAGTAGGCGGGGGGGGGGGGGGGGGGGGGGGGGGGGGGGGTCACACCCACCAATTGGCCCCCTGGCGCCGTGTAATCCCATCAATGGCCAAGACCCAGAGACTATAAAACCCAGCTCCCAGAAGCGCTCAGCCACATTCTCGGTCGCTCGACATCTTATTATCTCATTCCTTCTTTGGACAAACTGGCAGGCTATCGAATGTAACCTGCTCACAAGGCAGAGTCTGGCAAACTCCCCATGGTCTACCCAATATGCCAAATACCAGTAACAATGATGGGTCTCATTCTCCTAACTCTGAAAGAGCCTTGAATATGGCACTTTTTTAAAACTCTCAGGGCTAGGACGAAGGAGATGTTACTGGGGCCTGCTCGAGGCAATCAACGAATAACAGGATGGTCGTGATCGTGAAATGAGAAGAGCTATGACAGGTAGTATGAAAACAGTAGAGATGGTCAGGGAGATGGCCCCAAAGGCTGGGCACATGGTCTGTATGCAGGAGGCCTGGGATGATTCTCCAACACAGGGCCTCCTGAGCACTGCAGAAGCACAGAGCAAGGAATAGTCACCAATCCACTCCCCACCATGGGAAAGACACCCCCTCCCAATAAAATTAAAAATTACGCCTGGTTTCTTAAAACAAATGTGGGTTGCATTTAAGAAAACGATGCGGGGCTGGAGCCATAGCACAGAGGGTAGGGTGTTTGCCTTACAGGCAGCCAACATGACACAGGTTCAATTCCCAGCATCTCATATAGTCCCCCGAGGCACCGCCAGGAGCAATTCCTGAGTGCATGAGCCAGGAGTAACCCCTGGGCATCACCGGGTGTGAAAAAAAAAGGCCAAAAAATATTAATTTTTTTGAAATGATGTTAAGCTAGCATTGGTTATGATAATCAATAAAGGGGAAAAAAAGTCTCATAACAAAGTCAGTTGCATCCTCCAATCCTTCAACATTTTCACCATCATTTGAGCTCATACTTCCCTAGGCAGAAATAATCTCGCAAAACATCCCAGTTAAGTACACATAAGCAACACCACCAAATACCAAACATCCTCCTTTCTTACTCAATGAATGACTACTGCTTCTTTGCCAGTTATACTTTTTCTCTGCTTTAGTTCGGTCTCCCTGTATTGTCAAATGACCCTGCACCCAACACTTTGATAAACAAATCTCCACGTTTAACAGCAAATCCTCCCCCAAATAACTAAACAAACTCTTATTTAAATCCAAATATTTAAGTCTTATTTAACTAAGAAATACATCACAGTCTGATCTCCCTGTCTGTAATATAATAAACTCTACCCGTACCAGGGCTATCTTTATAAGAGAATTTCAAGGACTTACTCTAAGTAACAACTGTGTGCACACATACAGATATGTGAGAAAATAAAATATCCACTCAACTAGTTATAAAGAGAGGAGAGTAATTTCAATGAGC